CATTTTTACATGCTTTGGTGCCATTTTTTTGGAGTATTTCAACTTGGTATACATCAATACAACCTTAGATTCTAAATTTTAATAATATAAATATAAAATGTTCATAGCAACTAAATATTTCACTAAAAAATGCTATTATCCATACACAAATTGAAAATCGTTTTTTGTTTTTACACATATTTTTCATTATATAGAAATGCCACACCTTTATCCCTCAAAATTGTCAATGGCAAAAAGTTTCACACAATCCTTTCAAACAACAACAAATTTGTTTGAAGTGCTTTTATAAATTAGTTTCTGAGATACACTCATTTAAATAAACTATTTGTAGCTAATTTTTCAGGAGTATAAAGTTTTCCTAATCTCTCACTAATAATAATAACAATATTAAAGATTATTGCATTAATATATACGTGAGGAAACAGAAACTGAAACTTAATCACCCAGTGCTGTAATGGCGTCAACTGCTTCGAGGAGGGAGGATGCACCATTTGGTAGGTCCATCATATGTCTAAACGTTTGTAATGGTGTGCGTGTGTTGGGAGTTTGTAGTAGGTGTGTGATGTGTGTAGGATGTGTTTGTCTAAATGTATTATTGCAAAAAAGCACAACGCTCTGGGACATGTTTAGCATGGGAGATATTAGTGTAAATCCTCCGGTTTAATATGCAAAAAATAAATAAATTATATAATTTCAATTCTACAAGCATTTGAACACAGATATGCAAATGGGAGCGCCGGCGCTCCTGCCGGTCTCAAAGGGCTAAGATATTCAGTGGTACTGGAAATGCTTAAACATTTAATTTTTACTACTAAATTGGAATGGTGACATATCTATTATGTACAGATTAGCAGTAATATGTTTTAAATAATTTTTGAAAATAGACATGGTTGCAAATTAAATGCTACAGTGGCTTGCTATATACCTGCACACTGCATGGAGCAGACTTGAAGCAGCAACCTGACTGGCGGTTCTGCTGCATAGCACTGCTGACAGCTAAGAATAAACAGCGCTTGTGTGTGTGTGTGTGTGTGTGTGTGTGTGTGTGTGTGTGTGTGTGTGTGTGTGTATATATATATATATATATATATATTTATATATAGTAATGATGGGTAGTTTACATCTTACTTGTGAACCATAAAATGTGAGATTCCATAGAAATATGAAATATCAGTCTGATAGATCTTTGAATATTTTAACCAGAAGATCAGAACTTTTTATTGCAGTGATTACTGGACACTTTCTATTAACTCAGATAAAAGAGAGAGAGTCAGGTTTATAATAGTTAAGAAATTTATTTCTACACACTTTAAACAAGTCTAACTGTAAACACTCTGTGTACTGATGAAACTAGGTGGAATTAATCAATTAATCTAGGTGGAGTTAATCAATTTCCCTCTGGGATTAATAAAGTATTTTTGAATTGAGTTGAATGAGACGTGAGATGAATGGTGTATGTGTGGAATGTTGTTTTCAGAACTCTCGTATCCGGAGAAGCAATTAGTTCTGAGTGGGAGCGAAGGTTTTGCTCTAAACTACGGTTGGTGATTTATAAAACACATTAAACGCCATCTGTCGGTCTACGTACCCACAGGCGAAGCCTCCGTTCAGATCCAGAATGTCGAGGTCCGTGGACCTTCCTTGGTACCGAAGCCGTTAGAGAGAGCAGCAGTGCCAACCAGACTAGTCTTGGAATTCTTCCAGGTCACGACAGGTTATTATTGGCGTCAGCGAGACCCTGAAGGGGTCGTGAGGTTCAGCTTTTATTCTGAAGGAACCGCTGCGGTCAGGTGTAACGTGCAACAGATTTTATCCAGCTTGTCAAGGTTCTTGTGGTTGTAAAGGTTCCGGATGGCCTGTCCAAAACTTCTCTAGAACGCTTTGAACTGAAGTAAAGGTGACGTGGGGATAGTTTTTATAAATGTCATATTTTGGTTTACTGGCGAATCAGAATTTGACATGCAAAAGAGGGCTTATACAGACACCACAGAAAACCATGCCTTACATCAGAAATGTAGGTTCTGATTGTATCAGACAAAAGGAAATGTGAAATGTGACTTAACATAACTCTATGTCAATGTGTCTAGTGCAGCTGTCCAAAATTATAATTAAGTACTACTATTATGTCCCCGGCTCTCTAGGAGAGATGAGGAGGGGAGTAGTAAAATTAGTGTGTGGGATAAATAATAACAGAGTGCTATGTCGCTAAAAAACAAGGGATTTATTACAAAATGAATGGAATATTTACAAAGAATCCAAAAAACAATGCTATATACAAAACAAAAGGAGCTATATTTAAAAAGGGAGAAACTGAAAACGCCACCCCAGAAGGGGGTGGGAAGGAAACCGAGAATAATAAATATATATATTCAAAAGGGGAGATCCGTGGTCAGGGTCTAAAGCCGGTCCGAAGTCTATACGCCAAATGGTCTAATCCGAAATCCTATTGAGAGCAAATCGAAGACTAGCGAGTGAACCGAGTTGTACCAAAAGCAAACCGAGGAGAAGAGAATAGTATAAACTGTTCCCAGTCTACACTACCCTTGACCTTCTCCTCGAACTGGTGGCTGGGAGCAGCTCTTAACTGCTGCCAGGTGATCATCAATGATTTGGAACAGCTGGGCACCGGGAGACGGGCGAGACAAAGGCCACTGAGGCCATCTTGTGGCCGAAAAGGGACACGGCACGAAACAACTACTGATCACAGGATTATAATATCAAGTAATACATTGTCATTTCACAAAATGATTGAATATCTGATTCACATTATAATTTGCAATAACTAACGTTGTTTGATTTTGTATTCATCAAAAGAGTTCTCCGTCTAGTCTTGAGCTGTAAGGAGGTGAAGCAGTTTAGATGAGCAGAGGACCTGAAAGGCCTTGGGCCAATATCTCATGTAGATTAGGCCTCCCGACGGAGACATCACGTCTCCGCTTGAGCAGACAGCAGAGCATGACCTTTCAGGCCAAAAACAGGACATTTTGTGACGCTACAATATATATATATATATATATATATATATATATATATATTAGGGCTGGGATTTGATTAAAAATTTTTAATCTAATTAATTACAGGCTTTGTAATTAATTAATCTAAATTAATCGCATTTTAATCGTTCAGGAAAATGTGCTCTCAAAGTAAAACTTTTAATTAAAATTATGAGACAGAGAATCAAACATTAGACATGGTTATTACTGTAAACTAAAGCTTCTAATAATAAAATGCATTTTAATTATTCAAATGTCACTGTGTGATATGAAACAAAACCCAAATCAACTAGAATTTATAATTACAAATAGAAAACACCTGCAAAGGGTTCCTGAGCCTTTAAATAGTCTCTCTGTCTAGTTGAATTACTGAAATAAGTTTGACTTTGCACCAGATTCTAATTTTTCCAGTTTCACTTGTTTGTATAATTGGGAGTTTTTATTAGCATTTCTACTCATAATGTAATAAAAACACATAAATAATAATCCTTCAAAATGACAGTAGAACATGAACAAATATGATCTAGGACTTAAATGTACTAACTTTTAACACCAGAGCAGGCATGGCATATTCTGAGAATGATCAGGAACACTAACTGGTTCCAGTTGGATGACTGGAGGTTGATGGGATGATAAAAGATCACGGCGAGGAAATAATGATCTGACGAACAGGTGAGCGGACCTTCCTTACATGGGAAGTCCTGCTGTCACGTTAAGAAGGGGATGCTGCACACCCACAGATTCAGGCCTGCTGCAGCGAATCTGGTGTGATCTCCAGCCTGATCACAACTTCCTCGTTCCTCGCTGCCCCTGATTCACTTAAGCATCCACCCCTTAGCTGATGACAGCTTCAACACACCTCGCTGCTTAATGATAGTAATGCATGTGATGTTTAGACAGTGACTCGTCTCAGAAACGTATAATTCCTCGACAGAATTGTTTAGAAAATCATCAGAAAAGTTTCAGAGTGTTTCTGTTTTAACTTAAACTTCTGTTATCAACTTTAAGACATGTCTGTGATCAGAGTAGTGAGGACACGGAGCGTTCTCCCAGCGGCAGCCAAGTGCCTCTCGTTTGTCTTACTACTTTCATAAACTACTGTTAGGGCACAGAATTATTCTGTCTGGTGCTTTCAGTGCTGCACAGATGTTATGTAAATGTTAAAAATATAGCTTACCGCAACTTTCGTCAAGTTTCCCGTGCCACCGGGCAGCCGCAGCAGAGACGATCTCTGAAAAATTTCCGCGACACGGACTCCGTTGTTGTCTGGAAGTTTTTTTATCCAAGTTAAGAAAAGAGGCGGACGTGTTTCCTAAATCCTGCATCAGTCCAAGCAAGGCAACTTCTTTCTGTTTTTATTCCGTTTTAGTAGCCATTAGCACTGTGCATTGTTGTGTGCGTCAGTGATATTCAGTCTATGAGGAAATCGTGCAATGACAAAGGTTCCGCCGTGCTTGAAATGCAAGCTGCGATTAAATGCGTTAATTTTTTTTACGCGTTATTTTGTTCTAATTAATTAATCGTAATTAACGCGTTAAAGTCCCGGCCCTAATATATATATATATATATATATATATATATATATATATATATATATATACATACCTTCTCATTCAATATGTTTTCTTTATTTTCATGACCACTTACAAAGGGGCCAACAAGTGCTAAACACCTCTGGGAACTCCTTTAAGACATTTTTCAGGTGACTCCCTCTTGAAGATCATCAAGAGAATGCCAAGAGTGTGCAAAGCAGTAATCAGAGCAAAGGGTGACTATTTTGAAGAAAATAGAATATAAAACATATTTTCAGTTATTTCACCGTTTTGGTTAAGTACATAACTCCACATGTATTCATTCATAATTTTAATGCCTTCATTTAGAATCGCCTGATATAAATGGTCATGAAAATAAAGAAAACACGTTGAATGAGAAGCTTTGTCCAAACACGAGAGATTTTTTTTTTATTCACATTAATCTACATTTTGTTTTGTCTTTTATCCTGTCCAGAACTTCCACAGCATCATGTCTGGGAAAACAAGATGACTCTGACTGACCAGCAGCTCTCTAAACAGAAATGGACCTCCAGTTTGGACCAGAAGGAACCAGAACCTCCACTGATGAAAGAGGAACAACAAGAACTCCTTATCCATCAGCATGAAGGGCAGTTTCTTCTGAAGCAGGAAGTTGTTACCTTCATGGAGCCTTCTCCTTCTGAAGAAACAGACTGTCATGAACCAGAACCAAACAAGAACCAACCCTTGTGTCAGAGTACTACAGAAGCTGAGAACCAAGATCAGGGTGGATGCAGGAAAGAAAACTCAGAATCAAACAGCAATGAAGAACTGACACGTAATAAAATATGCCAATCCAAAGATCACAGAGACAGTGTAGATGATAAAAAACAAAAAAGGCACAAGAGGGCTCACACAGGTGAGAAGCCATATCCATGTAAAACTTGTGGTAAATGTTTTAATGTCAGTAGTTCCTTGACTAAACACATGAGAATTCACACAGGTGAGAAGCCATATCCATGTGAAACTTGTGGTAAATGTTTTAATGTCAGTAGTTCCTTGACTAAACACATGAGAACTCACACAGGTGAGAAGCCATTTTCATGTAAAACTTGTGGTAAATGTTTTAGTGACAGTAGTTCCTTGACTAAACACATGAGAACTCACACAGGTGAGAAGCCATTTTCATGTAAAACTTGTGGTAAATGTTTTAGTGACAGTAGTTCCTTGACTACACACATGAGAATTCACACAGGTGAGAAGCCATATTCATGTAAAATTTGTAGTAAATGTTTTAGTGACAGTAGTCCCTTGAATACACACATGAGAACTCACACAGGTGAGAAGCCATTTCATTGTAAAAGTTGTGGTAAATGTTTCTCACAGAGTGCTGCTTTGATTTATCACATGAGAATTCACACAGGTGAGAAGCCATATCCATGTAAAACTTGTGGTAAATGTTTTATTGACAGTAGTTCCTTGACTACACACATGAGAACTCACACAGGTGAGAAGCCATTTCATTGTAAAAGTTGTGGTAAATGTTTCTCGCAGAGTGCTGCTTTGATTTATCACATGAGAACTCACACAGGTGAGAAGCCATATCCATGTAAAACTTGTGGTAAATGTTTTAGTGGCAGTAGTTCCTTGACTACACACATGAGAACTCACACAGGTGAGAAGCCATATTCATGTAAAACTTGTGGTAAATGTTTTAGACTCAGTGGTCACTTTACTACACACATGAGAACTCACATTAGGGCTGCACGATATTAGGAAAACCTGCGATATTCGATAACAGTGCTTAATATTGTGATATCGATATTACTCACGATAAATGAACAAATACTAAAGTATGCAGTGTTGATGTCGTCTGGTGTGTGACGGCTGCTCTGGGTTTAAAGCAAACAAAAACTAATGCATGAATTCCATTACAACATAACATTTTTTGTGCAAAAATATGCAGCTGCACCTGCTACTGTATTAGCAGCAAAACAACAAACTGCATGCATGCAGTTTCTCAGTGACTTAAAAACATCACCACCACCATAAAACTTTTTCTGATGCTCCAAATACAGAAAAACATCCCTTACCAGGGTTTTTGAGTAAATAAAAAAAAATAATCAGAAAATAAGTTTAAATGTTAAATAATAGTTAACATCACTTAAATGCAACAGCAAATTCTCTCATTGCTACTGAACATTTTCTCCACTTATGTGGTTATGATATAAGGCTGTTGCTGTAATTGGGAAGTGATCTGTGCTGGGCCAAACTAGGAGAATATTAAGATTTTCTGAGGGAAAGAGAAAAACAATTGTCTACCTGTCAGAAGAGGAACTGGCAAAAAAACTGCATGGAAAATATGTGAAAACGTTTGTTTTTGACCCCAAATTGAACAAGTTTACCTAGATCTTAAAAAGCAGCTCAGATGATGAAACTGCAACTATGATTCTGATAACAAGCTAACAAATTGAGCTAGCTCCTCTAAGATAACCGGCTAGCAGAGCTTCTGACTGACAGTTTATGTGCAGCCAGTGCTGGACTGACCATAGGGCATAGCGGGCAACTGCAAATCGTTTTGGCGGGTACTGTTAAAATATTACTAGCCAGTTTGGCCGGTGATTCGGAGGCAACCAAGCAATTCATGTCAGAGACGCTCTGGGTCGTTTGCCCCCTCCTCCCCTCCTCGAAGACGAGTCACGACTGTGAGGGATTTATCTCCTCACTAATAGTTATTCCTCTTGTTTGTTTACTCCTGTATTTTTGTGTGTTTTAGGTCAAATATGCTTGGTAATCTATAAATTACTTTAAGTTAAGTTGATCTATTGGTGTTCATCACTCCCTTCTTTCTGAGGTCATTTGTTTAAGTGTTGCCATGGAAGCGCGCCCATAGGCAGCCATGATCAGTTCCTGGTGTGCTTAATCAGCTCTACTGAGGGAGAAACTAACTGACTGAAGAGAGGGGGGGTTATCTTGTGTTTGTTTAAGTGTAGTTGTTCTTGTTTTTGTTCTTTTGAGTTAAGGTAGTAGGTAAATATGTAAATAGATTGTTTGACATATTTTGTTGAGGTGTTGAGATGTACTTTATTGATTGCAGGATTTGAAGCTAATGTTTCCCCTGCCCATGTCATAATGGCTGGTTCCAAGTTAGCTTTAAAAAGGGTGGATTCGGTACTGTTGTGGTTGATTGCTAGCCTAGTGAACTAGACCAAATTCTTGCTTTGCAAAGTTTGGTCTACGTGGCTTTCCAGGCTAGTTGATTGCTTGTTAAGGGGAATCCATGCCCCAATGTCATGGATTGTTTGCATTAAAAAAAAAGGATAAAAAGTCAGAGCTCAGCAACATCCTGGACTCTTGCTTTTTCTTCTGTTGACAAACAGCTGGTAACATCCTGAGTGAGTAACAAGGCAGAGGCTCTGTCTGGGCCAAAACCTTACAACGACACTACCGTAAACCGTGTGCTATTTGTGACGTTTTAGATGCCTATTGGCTGCAACGCACAGGCACGCTTCTGTCTGCTGTGCAATTTGGTCCAATCAACGATGAGAGCGCGACACCAGAAACGCCTGAAAACACAAGCAAAAAATACGTGATGAAGAGCGAAGACAAAGAAAAATCAGAGCTGGACGGCGAAGTTGGATGAAATGCTGCGGTGGTTAAGCCGGGCGTACACTGTGCGACTTTTTCACTCGTAGCACTCAGCTTCAGCTCAAACTGTACGACTTCCTCGCCGAGCAGATCTCACGAGTCGTGCTCACACTGCACGACCCAGTTCTCGCATGTGACCTGACTGCTCACACTGTACGAGTGGCATGAACTACCGCAGCTAAAAATTAGCCAGTAGATGTTGGAATTACAAACACGAAGAAGAAAACCCCGGAAGTAAAAACGAGGGAAAACCAGTTCGGTTCCGAGCAGAAAAGCGCTTGCTTGCTCGCTGTTAACCGCAATAATGCTCGTGAAAACAAGACGTTTGTCTTTGGCTCTTCTTGCCATCATGTGTGTCGATGAAAAGAAAAAGAGAAGACGAATGTGGACAAAGAAATGGCTGGGCAGATGTTGCCAGTATGGTTTGTCAAATCTACAGCGGGAGTTGGAGGTAAGATGTTTGAAATAACCTTTTCTTTATGTAACTACAATTGTATCTATTGACTTAAATTACATTTTGACCAGCTGATGGACTTTGGGGTGGTGGGTGGAGTGACAACCGCCATTTGTAATGCTGTTGCAATGATGTGTGAAATAGAGCGATGATATGAAGGGGTTTCGGGACCTTCTCCGCATGTCTGTGGAAGAATTCAACGACCTTCTGGAGAGAGTGGCCCCTCAAATCATCACACACACCTGAGACACACACCTGAGGAAGGCGATCAGTCCTAGGGAGAGGCTCTCTGTGACACTGAGATTCCTTGCAACAGGCAAGAATATATACACACACACACACATCCAAATCAAGTTTACACATTATGAAACACTTTCTTAATCTTTACAGGTGAGACCTTCAATTCCTTATCTTTCCAGTTCAGGATTGGGAGCACCACACTGAGCCGCATTGTGATGGAAACCTGTGCAGCCATGACTCTAGTATTACGTGACGATTACCTAAAGGTAATTTTTTCCCTGCCCTAAAACAGCGCATCCACCCATCACGCTGTGCAGAAGCAATTTATTCACCTGCTGATGTAAATCTGGTGTGTTTGATCAGTAAAAACTGTAAAACATGCTTGATAAGGACCCTCGAGTAACAGAGTGGCATGTGGCACATCACAGATTCATGCACATACAGTTGGAATGTAAAAATTGTTATTGAAGTGGGTTTACATTCTGAGGATTATGAACCTGTTGAGTGATAGTCAAATGTGATGCATTGCACCAGATTTAGCTAGAAGCTAATTTGCAAGTGCAGTCCTGATTAAACCTGAGACTAATATAATGTATCACCATGTACTTCTTCCACAGACACCATCAGCTGAGACTGAGTGGAAGGTCATCGCTAAAGACTTTGAAGACAAGTGGCATTTTCCACATTGCATAGGGGCCATAGATGGGAAACACATCTTCATTCAACCCCCTGCCAACAGTGGAAGCACGTTTTATAATTACAAGTCAAGGTTTTCCATCATACTTATGGCTGTAGTTGACGCAAATTATAGATTTGTATATGCAAGTGCAGGGACACAAGGAAGGGCATCTGATGCTGGAGTGTTTGCCCATTCTGATCTCAGAGAGGCTATGGACAAAGGCACTCTGAATGTCCCTCCTGATGCAACCCTGCTAGGCACTGACTCCACAATACCATATGTGCTCATTGGTGACGAAGCATATCCCCTTAGGCCAGATCTGATGAAACCATATCCATCACGAAACCTCAACCGTGATCAAAGGATTTTCAACTACAGGCTTTCCAGAGCACGCCGTGTTGTTGAGAACGCATTTGGAATTCTGGCCAATCGCTTTCGCGTTTTCAGAACCACAATTTGCCTGCATCCAGACAAAGTTGTTGCAATTGTTTTTGCAACACTTTGTCTCCACAACTTCCTCCGACAACAGAGATCAGATGCCTACACACCACCTGGCTATGTGGATTCTGAAGATGCAAACCATCAGCTGGTCAGTGGCACATGGCGAAGTGAGGGAGCCCTTCAGTCAGTTTCGGCAAGCAGAGCTAGGAACCCCACAGTGGATGCTAAGAAACAACGTGATGTGTTAGCCCCAGGGGCCTCGGACTGGGGGGGGGGGGGGGGGGGGGGGGGGGGGGGTACTGTTTACCCAGGGCCCACTGCAGGGAGGGGCCCTGAGACAGCTTTGAATAAAAATGTTTTAGTGTTGTTGTTTTTCCCCCCAACTTACTTAATGTCTTAAACTTCCCTTTACCTGGATAAAGAGGTTAAGAAACAGAATTTCGCCTTAAAATAATAACTGAATAATCTCTGAGGCATCTATCACCCCTTAAAAATGTGCAAAGTGGTTTAGTCCACACCAGCGGCCAGGGGTTGCACGGCCGCATGTACAGCTATGAGATATCGCAGATGCCGACAGCCAGAGCTGGAGGCAGGAGAGTCAGTCATGTCTTTTCCCAAGAAAGGGAAATCTGGCTTCCAGAAAAGAAAATAAAAGAAAAGAAGGAGAAGGAGGAAAAGTTTTTGAACAGAAGCAAGTAGAAGGATGGTGAGCAGCAGTAGCAGAACACAGTTTTAGCTGATAATAGCTAGCTCTCAGAAGCTGCATTCATGTTAGGTGTTCAGTGTTAAACGCCTTTAGTTTGACCGTCAAGATCAAATATAAATTAATTAGTGTTATCAGTGAAAACACTAATTAATATATATATATTAGTCAGAATTATTATCGCGGGCGGCCGCCGCCAATTAATTCGCGGACCTCGCAGTAAAAACAGGTTCACTCTGTGTGGCTATCAGCTCCTTCCCAGTCATGGACCAGGACAAACTTGGTATCGATGGATTCGTGGTAATCTCAGGAACGTGAAGCTGCCACTGTTGTTCGTATAGCATGATGACACTGGTGTTAGAGGATTGTTATTGACTTGGTTAGATATTTTAAGCCTATTTTAAATTTCTTTATATTTGATCTTGAAAACGGACAATCTTATAATTTGGCTGATAATGCAGGGATTATAAAATTTAGAGTACATTACATTCACAGAGAGAACCTGGTTTATTTCATGTCATATGTATTTAATATATCAATACATATCAGCAAAGCTTAACATGAACCATGACGGACATGACTGAAGAGCAGATGAAGATATCATGCCAGGCACTGATGAGAAAATATTACAAGGATCTCACAGCTGAATTTGAGAATGAGATGCTACACCTGAGAACAATATATGGTGCCACATTTCCACACATTCGGTCTCCTCTTGAGCTGCTTAATGCTATACAGCAGGGATTCCCAAAATGTGGTGCGCGCACCCCCAGGGGTGCGCGAGCTGCCGCTAGGGGGTGCAGGAGGTGAAAAGTGTAATGGCTGCGGAGCTCAGAGAAGTCTGTCAAATGTCACCATTAGCGTAGCCAGAAACTCATTTGTGGGTGGACCTAAGAAAAAGTAAGTGGGCACAATAAATGTAATTGAAAACAAGTATATTTTTGCGCGTGTGTCCTCCACATGTGCCCTAGCTTCATAATAACAATGCGCAGAGCTTCAGCACTCTGACCTGCGCACGCCGATATGTTCCGTATTTGATCATTTTTAACGGTGTTGGAGAAATCTGAAGGTGGCGAGTCATTCTGGCAGATTGTAATTTACACCCTGTCTCATGCAGGCGTTCTGACATTGTAAACCTCACACACAGAACATTGTGGATGTAACTAAATAACAAGAAATGATTCCCATTCAGGCTATTAACTGCGCGCTGAAGATCTGAAGTTCTGAGTGCGTCTGTCAGAGGTCAGACGCGTTCCAGCTGAACCACGGCTCACGGGTGCACATGTGAGCACATCTGGGCTGGGCAGAAGTAATTTTACAACAATCGTTTAAATAGCGCCAATAACGAGACGCGGTGACTTGAGCGGCTGTGCCGCACGCGCGTGCGCGCGCACACACACACAGATTCAATAAGCGCGCACGCTGCTTTAACTCCGGCGCGCCGTCAGACTGAAGGCAGAAATGAACGCTGCCTCCACCGTGATAAAAACTTTTAAGAGGTTATTTTTCATTCAAGGTCAAATTAAGATATTAGCTTCTGGGATGAGTCGGGTCCGCTCCAGCCAGTGACTCCTCATGAACCTGACCACAAGTCCTCTTACTGCAGCATGTGTTATTCCAGTCAGCGTGGCAGCGGATCACAGATTCAGCCACACCATAAAACAGCAATAAGTCGGTCTGAGGTAAAAGTGAACCTCATGGCTATATCTTGTCCCCTATTGACATTTGATTACGCACAAGTAGGTGATCAGCTCGGGTTTAAGCAGAGCAGAAGGAAGGAGAGCGCTCTGGCCGCACAGGTTAAACGTTCCTACTTTAAGAAAACCGTTAAATTGCATTGTTTATGTGCTACCTGGGCACTCTAAATAATTATTTAAAATCAAATCAAAGGAAATTGTATTGGTATCGAATGTTTATTAATTACTATTTAAAAAATGAAAGTGATGGGGAATTTTTTTTAACCCTGTCTGTTTAGCTTGACATCTGATATATATATATATAGAGCCATGCCCTGATGTGGGGGGAGGGGGGGGTGCGTCGACATGGTCGGGACATAGAAGGGGGTGCGCGGCTAAATACGTTTGGGAACCACTGCTATACAGGATGCAATTACAGAGCATTTTTGGAGAAGTTTGTATTGGACTGAGGATATTTTGCA